TTAGGTTTCTTTCCGTTCTTGGCTGGCTTACAGTTATTCATTTGTGTTGGAATACAAGGCTGGGGCATCATTGGCATCATAGGATTTGGCACTGGAATTGGCGCACCCATCGGCATTGGTGGCYTGCATGGGTTTAATGGTGGAGGACCACATTGCGGTCCCATAGGCATCCCCATAGGATTCATCATTGGTCTTATTGGCATGGGCATTGGTGGCCTGCAAGGGTTCATTGGTGGAGGTCCACACTGAGGTCCTATTGGCATTCCCATAGGATTCATCATTGGCTGTTGGAATGGCATTGCAGGTGGTAATGGAATATACTGTTGTACTCCTTTTTTGGCTTTCTTTCCGTTCTTGGGAGGTTTACAAGTATTCGTTGATGTTGGAATACAAGGTTGGGGCATCATCGGCATMATAGGATTTGGAACTGGCATTTGAGCACCCATCGGCATTGRTGGCCTACATGGGTTTAATGGTGGAGGACCACATTGCGGTCCCATAGGCATCCCCACAGGATTCATCATTGGTTGCTGGAATGGCGCCGCAAATGGAATATATGGCTTCAAGGGCTTTTTGCCTTTCTTGCCTTTATTAGGTGGCTTACAGTTATTCAGTGCTGTGGGAATGCACGGCTGTCCCATCATGGGCAACATTGGGTTCGGCATTGGCAGTGGTGCCCTCATTTGCATTGGAGAACTCATTGGCATTTGTGGCCTGCATGGATTCATTGGCGGAGGGCCACATCGTCCTCCCATTGGCCTCATTGGCATGGACATTGGTGGTAGTGGAGGCATAAGTGGCATSATGGGTGGTCTGAATGGCATTRGTGGTCTACAAGGAGTCATTGTTGGAGGACCACATGGAGCCCCCATTTGGTGATGATATGGAAATCCCATCGGTATATTAAACAAATGGATAGGAGGAAGTGGAGGGGTGTTTATTGTAATCCCTTTGTTCTTTTTCCCTTTTCCTTTTTTGTTTTTCTTTTTGTTTTTCCTTGGATCATTGTATTGATTCATATGCGGATTTAGGAGACCAAATAGTACCGATTGCTGTATGGGGTTATCGACTTTTTTTAATAGTGATGGTAATTCCCTATAGTCCGCAAACAAAGGTTGCTGATTTGTTGGCCCAAACATCGTTGATATTGGTTGTCTGACACCCATCTTTCCTTGGTATGGCATCTGAGGTGGCATATTCATCCTTTGATAAGGGTTTATTGCGTCAAGAGAAATAACAGGTTCTCTTGGAGTCTGTGGAAGTACTGATCGGGAGCTTCCTGTCTTTGGACAAGGTTTTTGTGCGGTAGGTATACAAGGAGCTGCCATTGGGAAGAACATCGGATATTGTGSTTGGGGCATGTAAGGAGGTGCCTGGTATGGATTCTTAAATGAAGGCATCTTGATGAATTGTTTTTGCATAAGTTGCTTTTGTCTCAGCATCTGAAGTCTTTGAAGGAAAGGGTTTGGTTGCATTGGGAAGGGTGGYGACAATGGCATTTGTGGTCCTTGCATAGGAAGACATGGCCTTCCTTGTTGAGGAACACAKGGCATGCTCATGGGTCTTTGTAGCATAGTATTGGGCATTGGTCGTGCCATTGGCATTGGAAGTCTCATTGGCATTGGTTGCCTACATGGGTTCATTGGTGGAGGACCACATTGTACTCCCATTCCCATGGGCATTGGTGCTTGCATTGGCATTCCCATAGGGTTCACCATTGGTTGTTGGAAAGGCATTGGTCTACGTAATGAAAAATTGGGTTTTAAAGGCCTTTTACCCTTYTGGCCTTTCTGAGGTTGGCAATTATTCATTGCTGATGGAATGCAAGGTGGTCCCATCATCGGCATCATAGGATTCGGCATCGCCATTGGTCCACCCATCGGCATTGGCATTGGTCCCGCCATTGKGATTGGCTGCCTCATAGGCATTGGCGGTGCCAATGGAGGTCTTATCATCATAGGCCTTTGAATCATAGGTCTTTGCATCGCTGGCGTCATAGGTCTTCCGAAAATTGGTTGTTGTAATGGAWGCATGGGTCCCATAGGTCTTTGAAGGTTTCCCTGATTTGAAAAGAAAATACATCTTTAAATGAAAAAAATATATTTCAATGGAATAATTTTTCATACTTATGTCGGAATTTGATTTTCTTAATCTCTTACTCCTTGATTAGCTTGTGAAAACAGACTAACATGTAGGGTTGGTGGACAGGAATTAACTGGTGCAAATGCTTACCATAGGCTGCTGTAAAGTTATTCCCATTCGTGGTAGCGTCATTGCCATTTGCCTTTGCATCATCAAATTCGACATAGGATGAGCGGCGTTGGTTGCAATCTTCGATGCACAACAGCCTGGATTGCATGTTGACATGCATTTATATCTACAGTAAGGATTGCACGAGCCGACATTGGCTGGACCTTGACCTATAAMCAATTTTTAGTGATCAATGAGTAAAMTTAACTAAATTTGTTTTTATTTGGAACAGGTAAATATGTCAATTAGCAAGTTGTTGATACATGGGGCTTTCGCGAGTATATAGATAGATATATAGATTCCAGTGGCTTCACTAGATATACCTGAAGCTGCATTCCAAACTTAACGTACCTGGAGGTAGAATAGATATTTTCTTGATGGCTGCTTTCTCATTGACAGGGGTTGGGAACTTCCCATKGTTTTTTTTAAGAGCTTTTTGTAAGGGCAATGTGGGATCAGGTTTGGATCYTTGTCCAAATTTGAGAATTAGGGAGRCAGTCACCTTTGGTCGTCTGTAAGTTGATAMAAGATGACATAAAACCTCTAAGTTAACTGAAATTAACTTATTTATTGCATGAGTAGGGTGTCTGTGTATTGCCATCACCATTGACAAATCTTAAACTCACACTTCTCGCTCTTCAGTACTTTCTGATATTTGCACACAACTATCCTCGTCTAGTTTGTGACTGGGGAGGGGAGAGGGAGTTTTATAAATGGGGATAAATCAATGTGAGTCAAATACAATCATACTTAATATCTGATGACCATATATTATGTGAACTTACTGTGTCAGTTTGCTCTTAGGAGCACTCGAAGAAGAGGGCTTTTTCGGTTTTGCTTTCTGAGTATGGCTATAAAGCAAAAAAAAAACTTTAGACCAAAATGAATGAAGGCTTCATTAGCTYTTACAACTCAGACCTGTATCTGAACTATTATTTGTAAAAACGACTTACCCGAACCATTCTACCATTGCTGTCACCAACGTCGTGTCTCCTTTGAACGATTTAAGAAGCTAAAAATACGCGTTCATTAGAATGACTAGTCGTAAAACAGTTGGAACCTGATTATATGTAGTTGGCTGGTCCGGTAGACCGAGCTGATTTTGGTGTCCCCMAATGGAAAGAAACCAAAAGAAACCAGGCCGGGCCAGCCTTCTTCATATAATCATAGCCTTRGTTAGTTGCTTTGCACGTCATGTCATAACCGTCATGTTTAAAGGAACTAATAAAGAATCCCTGAATAGTTTCTCRTGTTCATYTATCCGACATGKCGGCGATTGTTAATGTGGTTTCACGGACATGATATGAACTGAAAGGCGTACAAGATCGTRCAAGATGGAATCGTACCATGTAAATGGCGCKACACGTCAATTAGTCTTAAGGTTCGCCTATRTTGAAGGGTTTTTGTAACGTTTTTGTGTTGTACAAAAACGTAATAAAGACTTACTGGACAGGCCTAATTATCACTATGTATTATGTATTAAGTATTTATATTCAATTTTACTCACCGCATCTTCGAATTTTGATTTCAGTTGAAGATAAGCAAGTGAGCCTGGATACGCTAGCTCGTCAACCCAAACCAGAGATGGGATATCAATCG